CTTTTTGCTTCTTGTAGGTTCTGATATTGTAAAGTTTTTTGATATAGGGTAGAGCACTACTTCGTCGTAATCGCTCATTTCCGTTCTATCGATCAGAAAAGATCGATAATATCAATGATTCCACCATGCACAAATCAATAATAGGTTTGTGCCGATGCTTTAGTTCATTAGCTACAACGTAAACCCTGTTAGAGCGTATTATATGAATATTAACGCTCATTGTTCTCAAAACAAAAGAAGCGCTCCTAGCGAATCCCCTTTTCCTACGTTTATCCGAAGGACGAAGGAAATCTAATTGCGTTTCAATGCGTTAGGACGGAATTGAAACTCGTAGAACGAATTTAGAATCAAGAAGCAGTATTAGATTTTAAACAATATCTCAACAATTTGTGACTCTTTATCAAATCCAACGGTACGTATGGAAAGGTGAATAAATTTAGAAATCATCTTTAACAAAAATATTCCATTTTTCGTTCAAACTCGTTCAGAAAAGAGAGATAAAGCGCGGGTTGTGCTTAGTAGGACGGAAATTAGATCAAAAACCCTACTGCACAGTTCCGACGCTAATGTCCAATTTTTTGGCAATTTCACGAACGGAACACACACACTGAAATTAATTGAATAGCTTTGAAGTTACCACAATTTTCCTTAAATTTTATAAACTTTATTAACGCTCACGGAATTTTGCCTTACGAATTTTCTCTGGACATCCCTGATGTTTTCTAAGCTTGCCTAAAGTTATCTAAATGTGTTTTATGTTCCGAAAAAATTTCCGCTATACAGAATCCGTTCGATTTTTGACAATAAACCCGACAATTTAGTGTTGCCAAAATTGAACCATGCCAAAATCGATTGGTTTTATTTTATTATTTTATTTAGAATTTCGTTGACGAGGAGTAATTTTTATGACATAGACGTTATTAATAATCTATATTTTATTAAAAATTGTAATTGCAAGGAGTACATTACATACTTTCAAAATCCGTGCCACAATCGAACCCCGTGTCAAAAACGAACGAAGTTAACGGTATTGCTCTGAAGTTATCTGATCGTCCTCGAAGTAATCGGAACTTTGCTGACTATCAGGAAACTATGTAAACATATCTAAATTTCTTAGAACATCTCTGGAATTTCTTGAAGATATCAGTGCTTGCTTAAAGTCCTCACCTTGTTTTTCATCAATCAATCAAAATTTTCGCAATATTTTTAAGTTCATGAAATGTATATGATAGGGAAAATGGATGTAATGTCGGCCTAAATGCCCCTAATTTGGACCCATACATAAATTCAGCAAGCGACTAAATTTTCAATAGCGACCAAAAATATTCATTAGTACCGTCCCAATGACGCATTCAACTAGATAAAATTGATAAATAACAGATTTTTAGCGATGTGCCACATCTTAGATTCATAGGCCAATATTAGAGCCATTTCTCCTACAACACTATTAAAATACTTTCACATTTTTCGGATACTCATGTAATTTTGGCTAAGTTTCCGGAAATTCTCTGAGTTTTTCGAAACTTATTTAAGGTTTCTACAATTTCCTTTAAATTATTTGAACTGCTCTTTGAATCTCTGATCTGTTATGATGTTTTCGGAGCTTCCCTGAAGCTCTCAATTCTATTGAAGATTTCGGTTCTGCTCTGAAATAAATGGAATTCCCGTAAACACTTTTAAACTTCCCTGAAATTCTCAGGACTTCTGTGAAACTCTTGAAATATTTCTGGAGATTTCATAAATTTTCTGAAGGTCTGTACTCCTGCACTTTCCTGAAATTCTCGGAACATCGTAAGGGTTCTCGATTTATTTCCCACCACATTAACGAACTATCCTGAATTTTTCAAAACTCACGCTTATAGATCTTTAAACTGCTCCAAAAGTCTGTACGGAAACTGCCCTTACGATTTCTGAAATTCCCAAAAGTTTTCTAGATCTAGCTTTTCTAAGGTACTTAGAATTTCTTAAAAGTCTCCACAGTTTTCCTCGAGTTTTTTAGATTTCAGACTCTTGACACCACAGATGTTCTCTGAAATTCTAATAGCTTTTCAAAAGTTCCTGCCGCTTTTCGGAAGCTAATAGAACTGCTTTGTGGTTCTTGAAGCTTCCAGTAAATTCCCCATATTTTCAAAATGTTAACTTCCCTTATGTTCCCGCAGTTTGTTTACGAAGCTTCACTAAAAATCTCAACATTTCCTTTCATTCCTCAGAACTTCTGTAAAGTTCCTACTATTGTTGTGAAGTTCATTGGACTTCACTGAAGATCTCTTATCTTTCATAAAGTTAATTACAAACTTGAAATAAATATTTTTTTCCCTAATTCTGGCACTTAATTTTTTTTTAAATATCTTGAACTTCAACTTTTAATGGATTTGATTGTAAAGCTGTTCCTTTAAAAATAATTGTCATGTCGTTTGCTGTTGTTGATTTACAATAAATAAAGCATATTTAAAACATAACTCGCCCCCCAGTGGTGGCAGTAAGGAGTATTTCACCCCCAGTGATGGCGGGGGAGACTTACCATGTCTCCTCATCAGGGGATTTTGGCAAAGTAAAGTCTGGAACGCGCAAAAATTGTTGTTGTTGGTGTATTTCTGTTATAAATGAATAAAAAAAACCTGAAATGCTGCATTTGGAAGTTGAGTGTGTATACAATGGTTGCTATGATGAGTTTTCACCGTTTGCTCTCCAGTTTTCAAAATGACGTCCAAGCGTGTCAAAATTCTGCTCGCGCAGCAAGTGAACCCGACGTTCTCACACGCCAAGTTGGCAAAATTGCTGGATGTGGCCAAATCGACCGTGGCAGCAATCGTAAACCGGACGTGGCAGCGACGACGAAGAAGGTGGCGGTGAAATATAAGCGGAATCCTAACCTCTCCATCCGGGACGTCACTGGCAAGCTCAATGTCTCCCATACTACTGTGCAGCGGGCCAAGAAACGAGCCGGGTTGGCGACGTTTAAGAAGGTCAAGGTGGCGAACCGAGATTACAAACAAAACACGTCGGCAAAGCAGCGGTTCCGAGATCTGTATACGAATCTGCTCACAAAGTTTTGTGAAGGCGGATTTCAAGCAGCTTACGGGACAGGAATTTTATACCGCATCAGTAAAAGGGAAGGTGGCTAAAATTTTTAAAACCATCAAACTATCGAAGTTCTCGAAAAAATATCTCGTCTGGCAGGTCATATGCATGTGTGGTCTAGAAAGCGGCATTTTCATTACTACGGGAACCATCAATCAAGAGATCTACGCCCAGGAGTGCCTGGAAAAGTGGCTGCTACCATTCCTAAAGCAACATAATAGACCTGTGCCGGCCTATCGAACGGTATTGGGCCTTGGTCAAACGGAAAACTGGCGTTCGGCGGCGAACAAGGTTGATGAGACCACTGTGCAAAATTTAATGGATAGGGTTAAGCGGAAGGCACGGTAGTTCGGATTCAGCAAACCAAAAGAATAAACGAACATTTTTTCCTTTAAACATATGAATTGAACTACCAAAAGAAAAATAAGAAGATTTTTGTGATATGAATTTTGACTGAAAGAAACGATTTTTTTGTCGACCAATTTTTGCGCGTTCCAGTCTTTAGATGATCAACCCGATTCGTGCCTTCCTCAAAAATGTGATCGCTTTCTATTCTCTATATACAATTGTTACACTGCCGTACTCTAACCGAACTATCAACTCTATACCTACATCTCCTCATCTATCGTATAAAACTAACACTGATATTTGACGTTAAGCATCTCCAACAATGTCAAATTGTTGTTTTATGAGCATAAAAATAAAACATATCAAATTTTTCCGCGTAATTTATTTCAAGTTGTGGCCTTTCAAATACTCTGTGTGTACTCTGCGGAATTACAATTTGAAATGGCGTGTTTTATCAAGAAATCATTAACACCTAATCTGCCGTTATACGCATAAAAGTCCCACTGTGCATAAGGATTGCATAGAACATGGGACAGTTATGCGTATAACGGCAGTAATTTCGTTAACTTTAAGTGATATAAAATTACTTTATTCTACAAAAATGCGTATTTTAACAATTTCTTAAAAACTAAATTCTTCAGGTACTCCCTAATTAAATTTTGAAAGATTTCTCTAAAATGAGACGTTGAGAATGTTTTCTTCACAAAGTTGCGTGAAATTACATCACCTACAACATTTCTGAGCATCATGTGTCTTTAGTTTCAAAAATAAAATAGTGAGTTTTAGAAAATCAATTAATTTGAGGCCAACCCTAATATTTACAACCACCAAAACAAGGGCCATTTCAAGCAAAAAATGTCACCAAAGACATCAAAGTCTACATATTACAGGAAAAGCTCTCGGACTACTATTCTGGCTGAATTCGCATTATGGATCACTGGTGTGTTACCCAATTTAATGTTAATTTTGCGACTGTAATCTTTGAACTTTTAACTTTGGCGTTAGAGGTTTGGATCAGAGCTTAAAATTATTGACTGCCTAGGCTGAGTGTGAAAGCACTGCACTATTCAATCCATTGCTCTGTGCAGACAGTTTGTACCAAACGGTCACTCACATGTAATTGCATGTAACAGCATGTAATTGAGTCATTTTTCCATAGAAAATGCACGCTCAGTCATTCAAAACAAATATTGGGTACCATCACGGCAGAATAAATGTGTTGACTGAGCTACTGACTGAGTGCTCGACTGTCAGTGACTCGTTTACCTCTGAATCATTCAGACTCTCACGAGTCAGTGAATGATGAGGCAGATGGCAGTTCATATTATATCAAAATGACTCAATGAACCTGACTGTTTTGCGCACTGGTTTGGATGTTAACCATTACGCCGAAGCCTTAGCAATATCTTAAATCTATTGAATATAGAAACAACTTAGTACTCCAACCGGCAAGTTTTTTCTCCCTACCCAAAAGAAACCCGATTAGCTTATGCGTCCCTTATGGCGTTCATGACACCTCAGTACCCCAGCTGCGCTTCTATTTGCACTAAATCAATCACCTCAAAACTTACCACAAACTCGAACACAAACGTCAGCGTTTCCCGCGTGTGTATTATATCATGCAGTGTCACAATATTCGAATGTTTCAGTTCTTTCAGCAGGGATGCCTCCCGGATCGCCGTAAATGGTGCACCTTCCTCTTCCTGTAACCTGATTTCCTTTAACGCTACTACTTGATTCGTTAGACTGAAAAGAGAAAACAAAAGAACGAAACGAAGCATTAGATGAGTTAGGTATCGCATCAAAAGGATAAAGTTTTCTCGGCCGAAAAAATGAGCAACTTGTTCGCATCGTCATATGACTCCCTCTCTCTCCTTCACCGCGACCGGTGGGAAAGTTTAATTCTATTAAAGCTCCACCAAGGACCGCCACACCGCTCTGAAGACAAATTGGAGCTTTTCCCCTCAATAAACAAAATGCCACCGGCGTGAGTGAGCACGTGGGACGTGATGAATTTGCCCCACGCGATCATCGTCAACAATCGTTTTTTTTTCGCAACGGGGAACACTGACTGACTACCAATGGCTCTGTTCTTGGCTGGCTGGCGCGATGCTGATGATGATGATGGAGACGCTCGGTTATTTATGGTCCAAGGTGTGGTGGTGCGGGTCGATGTGGAGTCGGGGGCTGGTGCCCATAAATAACCGTTGATCGACGTCGAGCACTTTTGCTTGTTTGCTCAGCGGTGCTATTTGTTTTCCCGATATTATTTCCGTGACAATCGCTCAAGGAGAGAATGAGAAACGAAAAAGTTGGATCCTTCCAAGTTAACGGGAAACGAAGATTTTATTTGTTTCCGAATTTGGAATCAATTGAGAGAAAAGAGTTTTCTCGTTTCTAATTTAAATGTTGAAATTGGACACGTTCAAACAATTTCATACCCAACTACAGCTAGCCATTAGATTTCGGTGGCACGAAAAGCAAACAGTAACAGACAAAGGAAAACAAATTAGTTCGACCCGTCGTTTTTCGATTCAGTTTGTCAAGAAGAAAAAGTTCAAATCATTATTTTACCCAAATATAGGTACGCAATCTTCATCTGATGATACGTATCACACAAAAAAAAAAAAAAAAACGAAACACTGTCAAAGCTGTCATGAGCACAAGCCAACGGAAACTAACGGCAATGGCACTGCGGTGATGAAGATGATGATGATGATAATGATGATGATGATGGGAAAATCAACAGCAAGCGAGGAAAGTTGAAGGGAAAGGTTGCATTATTTTTCTTCTTTGTTATTTGTCCATGGTTTCCACTCTTGGCATCTTAATTATATCGAAGAGATATAGAATGAATGACCCGCTTCAGAGCAGAAAACACCGATACAAATTGCTCTCGCACTCACTAGAACAGAGTCATTGTGTTTGGATATCTTTTTTTTTTGGTTTTCTCAATTTGAAAGTTTTTATCCTATTCATTGACCCCTATTGTACCTATCTCACATATTTCGTTACCCGTCAAGAGTGAGATGCAATTAAGTCCAACCGCTCTTGGTCATCCAATCAATTAGTTTGATGGTTCTGAGAAATAAATTATGCGAAGGATTACTGTTGCTCAGCATTCGTTTACGAGGGTATTATAGGCGAATTTATTGAATGGGTTTAATTTAAAAGCGTATGACACTGACCGTTAGTCTGTCTGTATATGAAGATTCCTTAATTTCATAGCAGGGATGTACTTAAATACAAACTCAATTTTATTTTCCCCATCTCGGCAATATTTTGCCGAGATTTACACAGCAGAGTGTCCAGCAACACATTGCTGAGCCTCAATGAAACATTTTCCAAGACTCATCAATAGGGTGGCTCAAAATAATACTTTGTCTTGAAACCTGACGGCTCACCCTCCAAAATCATTTCATAATAGCCATGGATGTTACAAAAACACTTTTTCATGGTGACAACTCTGAAAAACGTGATTTAGAGGTAGCCCCGGTGAGATTTTTTAAAAAAAGTGCATTTTTTATAGTCATAGCTGAACAAATATTTCTAATACAAAAAAATGTAATTCAACCCAACTCTATAATACGTTTTACACATTCTTTCGATATGATAAAAATTTGTCAAGGCCTGCTGGATGTTCCATTTTTTCATGACATTTTTTTTTAATTTTCAGGAATCACGTTTTCTCGGAGCATGATGGCATCAAAGCAGAGATAGAAATTCTCACTCAGCTGCACGATAAGCATTTCCTCCCTCAAGCTAATTTACGCTGAGTTGTGAACCGTTCACATTTTCATCTCTCCTTTTTCATCGATAATTCATTATCCTCTCTCATACATAAACCGAAAATATCTCTCTTCAAAAACGAACGAAAATACTTTTTCATCACCCATTTGGTATGTATGTATGTATTATGTATGTATATACAATCCAACTTCCACTGTCCGGCAGTGTTTTTATGGAAGAAAAATATTTGCAATATAATCTATCATTATTATACTGATCTCATTGCAAACAATTTTAGCCCGGAAGTTGAAAGGTGATAGCTCTGTTGAGATTCAGTAACCCATTTCAGAATGTCTGGTCACTCACGTCCATTCCGAGGTTACTTTCACTTACAACAAGCCCCGCATACACGTAGTACCGATATAAAATTTATATTGGTACTGCGTGTACACTTCCATCATCAAAGCAATTCCTACTTTGTAGATGGCACGTATTTAGTAGGATGCATTTCATATTTTTATATCTAGTTGTAATCAGTTAGATCTCACCGCTTATGTATTGTGTCCTCGACGCGGAAGCATCGTAGTCTAATCTGCAAATTCATCTTTCCCGGTTTTTGTGCAGGGGCAGAACGCCAATGCTTCCGGAAGTGGAGGCGTAGCACCGGAACACACTAGCACGACGCTACAGCAACACAACTTTTCAAACAAAATTCTAGCCCGGGAATTTTCACAATAATTCACAATATTAAAACACTGATAAATTAACCATAATGAATCTATATACACATGATAATAATAAAAACGAATTACTTTTTGCCTTAGTATAAGCCGAAAAGCACGCGGAAAATCACTTTTTCATCACCCATTTGGGTCTGAAAACTACCAAGAGCGAAAAAATACCACCCCAAATTGTTCGGTTCCAACCCAATGTGATGTAAACAGTTGAGGCTTGGGAATTCGCCGTCGCTTTTGTTCTTCCGTTGATTAAATGGTTGACGGAGTGTGGCGTCATACTGTGTTATCCATTTAAACAGCGGCAGAACGAAAGGGACAACGATTTCACATAGCCTCACCTGTTTGCATTTCATTGGTTTTAACCAGTCCGGCAGATTTTTTTTATTTCCTTTATGGTCAAATCATAAGGGTCATCCATAAATGACGAAGCAATTTTCTTACCAATTTTAGACCTTCCCCTCCCACTCGTAGCGTTTTTTCTATACCTTATGCATGGTCCGTTACAAATGTTGAAACCCCCTCTCCATTAATCCTCAGATTCTACGTAACTTATGGATGAGCCCTAACTGTTGTTTGGGTTCTTAATTTCGGATCATCGTTTGCGTGCGGAAAGTGAATTTTCAGGTGTATGAAAGAAGCGAAAAATCATTATCGGCATCAAGAATTCACTGGAAAAGAAACGATTTATCTGCCGCTCATGCTCTCCGAAAAAAATAAATAGTTGTTGCTTTTCTCGCGAAAACTGCTCGCTTCTCACATTCTCTTCTATTTCTCCTAGCAGGTGAAAAATGACGGTTCTCTTCTCAATTAGGCGAAAATTTCGATCTCTGCATCAAAGATATTTAATTACCAAGATATCTCACTAAACAATTCTTCGAACAAAGCAATGGATACACAAACCTTATGTGAACAAAGTGCCATCCGGTGAGTGCACATTGAAACTGTTGGAAGTCTCCCACCAACTTCACCACCAGGGCTCAATAACTGACAGGTGTCAGCATCACATATGCCAGCAACGAGGTACAGAGAGAGGTGACGCAGATCGTGTTAGTAAACCAAAAAATCAACGTAAACGCAAGTAGTGACGTCACTAATTGCTTGTATCGTACAAGGGTTTTACTCACACAACTTAACCGATTACTTCACCTCGGTAATCTAGCTCATTGATATGCCAGAACGGACGTTCACGCAGGCAAAAGAACGTAAGAATTGCATAAGAAACACTTATGAATGTTAGCCACAAGAAATCAGCATGAATTTCATTGATTTGCCTTATGAAAAATAATGTTGACAAAAAAATAATAAATCGGAGCAGACTGGAACCGAACCATGGACGTTGAGATTACGGAGCTCGTGTGTTGACCACTCGTCTTTCAACGCTTAAGAAAATGGAATGGCTAAAGGCGTATAAGAGCTACGTTATGTTAGACGAAAATCTATTTGCCTCAGTGTTGATGGTCAGCCGAAGAAGACGAAGAGGACGATATCATCCTCGATGTTATCATCATTATATTGCGATAGCAAGGCTCTTACTTTTTGTGATTGCTCCGATATTCATACAGTACCACTTTATATGCAACAGAAACATTTGAAAAAACAATCACACATCCAAGCTTGCATTATGATGGGCTTGTAATATGTTTTGCTTTGAAGTGAAAGAGTTTCTAATATCATCACCTGTAAGATGCAAATCTCTAATCGAGTCTCTAATAGTAATTTATTATTTGCGAAGCTGTTTCTCAATATAATCGTTATAAGCATAGCAGTAGGAAAACATTTCCTCCATAAAGAATTATTCCAACACCCTAGCTATAGGATATGCAACGTATCAAAATCATTGCTATACAAACATAAAAATATGCCGTTTTCCATGGTCAACGCAGCATGCATTCTATTCAAAAATTATGTTTGATAATGATTACTTTCCTATTTTATAACGTAGGAAGGTATTTGTCAACGTCTGCGATTGCAAACGCAATCAGAAGCTGCCGAAGCAGAATGATGACGATGAGTGATGACACCGCTTCGTGTTTTGATTTGCGCTGTATCGTCCGCTCAGTGGTGTGGGTTCGTACATGCATAGATGTTGGTATGCGTGTTTTCTTCCATCGCTGCACTTCAATGTTGTCTCGCCACAAGCCTTTTGGCGCTGTTTTCTGTCTCTATAAATTCCAAAGAGTGAAGGAGGTCAATAATCAAAAGTGGGTATACAAATAAAACCTCTAGCTGATTTAATATCTCTCTTGGAGTTCAAAATAAAAAGTTAAAAGTTTTGTCTTT